ATCTCTGTGAGTTCAAGGCCAGCCTGGTCTACATAGTGAGTTCCAGGACAGCTGAGGCTACAGGGAGACCCTGTATCAAAAAGACCAAAAAAAAAAAAAAATTATAGATGGTATTAACAGTATACCAATTACCTAGCAGTGTGTTTTGTACCTATTCATAAACAGGACTTGCCATTATTGTTATAGATATTAGTATGTTTTTAACATTGTTCTTCGGAGTTCACTAGGACTTTGAAACATAGTTTTCTCTTTGTTTTTGCTAGTTTGTTCTCTCTGTCTCTTTATGCTCCACTCTCCCAATATTGGGATCGACATTGTTGGGGATCAAACCTAAAGCCTTCCACATGCTAATTCTATACACACACACACACACACACACACACACACACGTGCGGGTATGCACATGTATGTATGCATGTAAGCACACCTGTGTGGTAACATGTAGAGGCAAGGGGTTGACACTGAAATGCCCTCAGTCACTTGTTTACTGCAATTTTTGAGACAGGGTCTCTCATTGAACCTGGAGCTCACCATTTAAACAAAACTGGCTCTGGCCAGCAGGTCCCAGGACTCCTGTCTCTGCCTCCCCAGCACTAGGGTTACAGGTGTGCTGCCATGCTTGTTTGGGCCTGGGCTTTGGGATCCAAACACAGGTCCTCTGGCTTGCAGCATTTTGTAGTAGCAATTGCTTTACTCCCTGAGCCATCTCCCCAGCCCCACTTCGAGTTCCTTCTCTGGAGACCTTCTAAAGTCTTTAAGATTCCAGTTAGGATAGCTTTATATAGTATTAAACTTATATGCTTAGTTGTTTCTGATCTCATTATAGAGCAGAAATGGCCACTATTCTTATTAAATGAGCATACAGTGCCTACATGAAACAGAATTGTACATCAATTTTAAAGACCATGAAATGATCCAAAGGTTTGACAAGTACAAGTAATATGAAGATGGTAAGTCTCCACATGTGTGAACCAAGAGCAAGACGGCACCAGTATCTCTCACTTCTTTTTCATTAAAGTATAGAGCTCAGGGGGCCAGCATGCAGGGCATCCCCAGAGCAAACTGGCTAACTAGACTAGCAGAATTGGAAAGCTCTAGGTACAAGAGACCTAGTCTCAATATATAAGGTGGAGAGCAATTGAGGAAGAAACCCAACACCAACCTCTGACCGCCACATACATGCACACACATGTGCATACACACATTTCCTCACACATGTGAACACACATACAAACACATATGTAACTTTAAAAAAATTATTTTATCTTTTTTTTATTTTACGTATATGAGTGTAGTGCCTGCATGCATGTAAATGCACCCCTATTGTACAAAACCCATGGAGGTCAGAAGACGGCATCAAATTCCCTAGAACTGGAGTTACTGAGGGTTGTTAGCTGCCATGTTGAGTGCTGGGACTCAAACCTGGGTCCTCTGGAAAACCAGCCAGTGCTCTTAACTACTGAGCCCTCTCTCTCCAGCCCTGAGGGAACATTTTTCTTTTTAAAAAAACAAGCTCTTCTAAAAATAATTACATTTTGGCCAGGTATGGTGGGGCACGCCTTTAGTCCCAGCACATGGGAGGCAGAGGCAGGTGGATCTCTATGAGTTCAAGTCCAGCCTGGTCTACATAGTGAGTTCCAGGCCAGCTGGGGCTACAGGGAGACCCTGTCTCAAAAAAGACCAAAAAATAATAATAATAATTACATTTTATTTAGTGTGAGTTTGTGTGTGTGCATGCACACATGTGCATGTGTGTATGCATGCATGCATGCATGTGGAGGTCAGAGGGCAGTTTGAGAGAAATCAATTCTCTCCTTCCACCATGTGGATCCCAGGAATTGAACTCAAATTGTCAGACTTAGTGGTAGGCTCATTTACTCACTGAGCCACCCTGGAGTTTTCTTTGTGGGTAGGTTTTTGATTACTAACTCAATCTCTTTCCTTACTGTAGGTCTATTTAGATTTTCAATTTTTAAATTGACTTGATTCAATTGTTTTTGAATTGTTTCAAATTCAAAACAGACTTAAGTCTGTTTTGGTAATTTGTGACTTTCTATGTATTTGTCCATTTCATTTATGATAACTAATTTTTTGGCATACAAGTGATCAAAATACTCCATGTGAGGCTGGCAAGACAGCTGTCAGTAAGGTGCTTGCCACACAAGCACAAGGACCAGTAATAGATCCCCTGCACCCACATAAAAAGCCAGGGGGTCCACGCTTGTAATCCCAGCACTGGGAGGTAGAGACAGGTAGTTCCCTGGCATTCACTAACTGCTCAGCCTAGCCTAATCAGTGAGCCCCAGGGCCCAGTGAGAGTCTGTCTCAAAAAGCAAGGTGGATAGCTTCTTAAGAACAACACCTGTGGTTGAATTCTAGCCTCTATACAGAAGCACATATACATGTACCTGCATATGTGTGCACATAAGCACAATAAACAACTATTTTTTGATTGATTGCTTTTATTCTATGTGTATGAGTCTTTCACCTACATGTATATAAGCGTACCTGTGTCATGCAATGCATGTGGAGGTCAGAAGAGGGAGTCAGAGCTCGTGGAACTGGAGTCACTGATGGTTGTTAACTACCATGTAGGTGCTGGGAACTGAACCCAGGTCCTCTGCAAGAGCAGACAGTGCTCTCAATCACTGAGTCATCTCTCCAGCCCCAGGAATGTATTTTTTATTGATAAAAGGGCCAAATCATCTGGAGTTCATAAAAGTCATAAATACATATGTGCCTAGTCAACAGAGCCCTAAAATGGTCCTCTTTGGCCTCCAAGGGCATTGCATATACATGGTGCACTTTCATATGTGCAGCCAAAACACTCATACACAGAAAATAAAAAATATAAATTCTAAAAATCTAAGAAACCACTCGCAGGTCTATTACTTTTAGTTTAAAGTTTATCTCGTCAGATATTACAATGGCCATGTCTATTCTCTTTTAGTCACTCTTTTCGATCTCATTTTTCTTCTTTCATTTTCAATATATTTGTGCCTTGAATCTACTTTGTCTCACATATAATGAATAGATTATATATTTTGTAATTCCATCAGTCTTTGCATTTGATTGCAGTGTTCTATTTATGTTTAATGATCTGTGTGGCATCTATCATTATACTAATTGTGCACTGTTTGTCAAATGCTTGTGTCCCTTTATTCTTCCATTACCATCTTCTTATGTGTTAAGTATATATTTTCTAGTTACTATTTTACTTCTATTGATGTTTCTTTTACTATTTTTTTCCTTGGTGATTACTCTAGGGATTAAGATTAGCATACTAATTTGCAACTATAGGGATTAAGGATGTAGCCCTAAACTCAATCCCCAGAGCCAAAAAAACAAGACAAAAATAAGGAGTCTGGGGAGATGGCTTAGGGGGTAAGAATGCTTGCTGTGCAGGCATGAAAACCTGAGTTTGAATCCTCAGCACCACATAAAACATCAGGCATGGCTGCACTTACCTATAGCCTATACCTACATTGGGGGACAGACAGGCTGAGCCCAAGAGCTTGTTGGCCAGCCAACCTAACCAAAGAACTGAGCTTTCAGTGTAGTAACAGACTCTGTCTCAAGGCAGTAAGATGGAGAACAAAAAGAGAAAGACATCACATCCTCTTCAGGCCTCTGCATGCACATGCCAAGCATGGACTTCCACATACTTATATGCATGCATTACACATGCATATAATCACACACACACATACACACAAACAACACATATACAATATACCACACACAAAAATGTTTTTTTAATTAAAAATTTTAAATATTGCTGCAATACTTGTTCTAGAAGGAAGTGAACTTTTAAATAAAATATTCATGGTAAAAATTTTAGTTAAAATATTTTTACATTTGTGTGTGTGTGTGTGTTTATACACATGTGCCATGGTGCACATGTAGAGGTCAAAGAACAACTTGCTGATATCAGGTCTTTCCTTGCATTACATGGGTCCCACAAATCAAACTCAGATCATCAGGACTGTCAGCAAGTGCCTTTACACACTGTGCTTGATAGCTTTAGTGTCAACTTGACATTTCATTATTATCCAAAGTAGTTTACCTTAGGGTTCACTCTTATGCATTCTATGTGTTTGAACAAAAGTTTAATAGATGTATCTGCCTGTTATGGTATTGTGCTGTATGGCTTTAGTTGTTAACTTGACGCACCTGGGTTGAGGGACCCTCAAATGCGGAATTGCCTCCATTGGACCAGCCTGTGGCCATGTCTGTGGGGGAATTTATTGATTGTTGAGTAATGTGGGAGGGCCTAGCCCACTGTGGGTGGTGCCACCCCTGGGCAGGTGGGCCTATGTTGTATAAGAAAGCAGGTTGAGCAGGGGCCAGGGGAGCAAGCCAGTAAGCAGCATTCCTCCACGGCCTGTGCTCCAGCTCCTGCCTCCAGGTTCCTGCCCTGAGTTCCTCCTACCTTGGGCTCCTTGATGAACTGTGACCCGGGAAATGTAAGACAAAATAAACCCTTTCCTCCCCATGTCGGCATTGGTCAGAGTGTTTTGCTACAGCAATGGAGAAAACAAACTAGAACATTGAACCATCTCACTGGTTCCTAATATTTTTTAATTTAAAAAAAAAAAAACTTTTTAAGGGGAATGGAGAGATGGTTCAGGGGTTAAGAGCACTAGCTGCTCTTTCAGAGGACCCAGGTTCTGTTCCCAGCATCCACATGACAGCTAACAACTATCTGTAACTCCAGTTCCAGGGGATCTGATGCCATCTTCTTCCTTCCACAGACTGCATGCACATGGCACACTTATGTGTAGGTAAAACACTCATATACACAAAATAAAAAATATAAATCTTTTTACAAAAATTTAAAGAACACAAAAATAATGATAGGTCTTGTTTTGCTTTAGTTTCTTCTTAGAATTTACATTTTCATCAAAACTAAATTCAGAAAAATAAGAAGGAGTTCTTCCCTTTAGGCACACACTAGAGGGCTCTTAGAAGAAGCACCTGCCTCTGGAATGAACACTTACCTTACCTAATAATACGTTCTGCCACAACCTAAATATACTGAGGTAGCTTCTATCCCTGGCACCAAAAGATGTAAAGAAAAACTGCAAAGAAAAATGGGAGGACAATTTTAGTGCCATGGAAAATACGGGGAAAGCATCTCATGAAGGTCTGTGAGGCTTTGTCACAATTAAAACAAACTAGTATTCATCACCGACCACTTATTTTTACCTAACGTTTTGTTACAACATAAGAAACAGGTAACTGTTGTAAAAATGAGGTACCTATAAATCCTACCCTATAATAAACATCATCTTACAACAAACAATTTTTCAACACAATCTGTCCATGTTTACTAGGGAAATGGGCTGTATAGGCATCTATTTATGTTCATCATAGCTTGCTCAAATTAATCTAAATACATTTGTGGAAAAAATGAAAGTTTTAGTTTATTCTGAATGCAGCAAAGATACATGAATTGCTCATCATTTGAGCCAAGTATAAACAAAGAACAAAACAATACATTTCAGAACTTGATACTATTTTAAGGATATTAATGTTTAATTGTATCATCTTTCCAAGTTTTAAAAAATACCAGAAATATGGAATCTCTGCTAACCATGCACATAAAACACCCAAGTAAGAACTCTGAGCTTGCCTGGCATGATGGCACACACCTTTAACCCCAGCACCTGAGAGGTAGAGGCAATGGGATCTCTGTGAGATAGAGGCCAACCTGGTCTACATAGTGAATTCCAGGTCAGATGGGGCTACAGGCAGACCCTTTCTCAAAACAAACAACAAAAACAAAAGACAAAAACAAACAAAAAAACCCAAACCTCTGAGCTTTTATTTGAATGTTATAGAAAAAAATGTGCCTTTCAATCTATAATTCTGTTTGTTTTCAGCACTATATATTTCTATGCATTTTTTTTTTTGCAAAGTCATGTTTTAAAATAGACTTTGATGAGAAAATTTAACAAGAGACAGGACTGAATGGAGCCTCCCAGTGGGTAATGTCTTCCAATCACTTAGCACGTGACCTCCCATCACTAAGTGCTTATCCTTAGGGAAAAGAAAACTAGTTCTTTGCTGGCATTAAATAAAATTCCACACAAACATGTATGACACTTTTCACAGATTTTAAAGTTCTACTTTTCAGTTCATTGAATTGAAACTTCGATTTATATTGTTTATAGAGGATACATCATAGACCTCTTTCAAATAGTATTACATTCAGACTATGTGACCCAGTGATTACTACTATACTCTTTTGTTTTTATTAATTTTTGGTTAGCATAAAAAATGGATTTCATTGTGATATTTTGAGACATATATAATTATACTTCATTCTTTTTAAGACCCGAATTTTTAATTTATGTATATACACATATACATATATTATATATATATATGCCACATGTGTGTGGGTGTCTGTGGAGGCCAGAAGAGAATGTCAGATACCCTGTAGCTGGGAACCCACCCTGTAGTGGGTGCTGGGAACCAAACTCTCAGGTCCTCTGAAAGAGCAATGAGTGCTCTTAACTGCCGAGCCCCCTCCCCAGCCCCTTACACTTTGTTCTTATTCACCTCCCATTGCCCTCTCCCAGCCCCTTTCTCCCCATCTTGCTGGTCCTCTTCCCCTCCCCCAAAATAGTACCCCCAATGCTGTTTTCTTAAGTCAAATTGTTTTGCCTAGTTAGAGTAACCTTATACTCTGTGTTTGCATACAGAGATGAAAACAATCTCTCATTTTCACCAATAAAACTAAACGTTTTGGTATTAACTTTATCCATTCTTGCATATAATCATCATGTCCCCAGCTCCTAAAAAATGATCAATTTACTCAACAGTCTCCATAAATACCCATCTTTCTTTATTCCCTGATACATTCACCTTTAAATCTATTTAATAAGCTTCCTAATTTGAGAAAACTGAGGAATAATAAGGAATAATAACCCAAGTTACTGGAGCCTAGAACATATTCTAGAACCTAAAACAACCAAAAATGCTAGCCTTTAGTCACAGAGCACAAAAAAAGGGTAAAAATTAAGGAGTTCAATGTTTTTCCCCATGATGATGGAAAAAGAGCTCAACGGGTTAGCACAGTGAGGACGCAGCCACCAGGGTCTATACAACTTAATAGTTCTATGATTTGGGGGGTCACTTCCCTTTTCTTTAGTTTCCTCATCTACAGAAAAAGATAATTATAATTGCATATTTTTGTGAGAACTAAATAGGAAAGTATACGTAAAGTGTTTAAAACATCACCTAGGACAGAATATTCAGTAACTGCTAGTTAGGTGTTACTATCAAAATAAAAATGCTTAATCCTGAAATTCCATGTATGTATGAGAAACAGCCAAACATGTTAAGAAGGCTAGGTCGGGCTGTTCACTGAAACAGTGTTTATAAAATCAAAATGTCACAATGAACTAAAAATAACCAAGGAAAATGTAGTATATTCATTCAGATAAAAGCTATATAGTACTTAAAAAGAGACCAAGCTATATTATGGGCCTATCTGTGACTCTAAGAAACTGTTTATTTTAAAAGGAGAATGAAGATAAACACAAACAAGGCAGTTAAAAAGCCAAACATGCATGTATGAATATATACACATTCATACACATATATGTGTGAACGAAGGTGAATATAAAGGAAGAGGGTCTAAATCAAGGTCTGAAAAGATGCAAACCAGATCAATACCAGTGTTTGCTTCTAGGAGGGCAATGGGATTGGGGATGACAGGCATGGAAGGAAGGTTTTAGCTTTAGAATTGCTTGATGATTTTGCTAGGTAATAAAAAGGTACGCATGTATTAACAGCAAGTATGTTTTAATTTCCCCCACCGAACAGTTCAAGCCTTTGGCAGAACAGGAAGCAGTAGACATTGCCAGAGGGTAAGGGTTGGGACAGAGGAACTACAGTCACCCAGAGCAGTGTCAGAACCAGAAACATGACAACACTGTCCTTACAGGAGAGTTGTCCAGAGTGGCAGAGCACAAATGCATAAGAAGGCCCTCACTTGTGTGGGTGGCCAGGAGCACAGTATCAGAACAATAGGACAAGTGTAGAGGAGGGGACAAGTCAGAGCCCATGGGCATGACCATGCAAGGGACTAGCTTGGTGTGTGGTATCAAAGTTCAAACACAGTGAGTGTGGTTACAAATGGGGGCTGTTTATAAGGGGGATCAGGGTCAGAGTGGATAAGGGCAGCAAGGTATGGTGGTCCTTAGGGGGTAGCCCTGTCCCAGGTGTCACAGCCTGAGCAGGGTGAGGAGAGCGGCCACACAATGACACAGTGAAGACTAGCACAGAAAGCCAGGGCACAAGCAGGGAATGCCAGGCATTCCTATGGAGGGGTGACCTAGCACAGGGTGATGTGAATATAGGGAAGGAGCCTGGTATGTGGATGAGCCCAAGCAGGAGAAAAGAATTCTGTAGGAACATGAAGGTCATGGTGGAATGGGGAGGAGCCTGACTTTAAGTATCAGAAATTAAGTTGGGCAAAAGGACCTCTATGTCAGGGGTGGGGGTGCAGGTAAAGACTGGCAATTTACAGGCTGACTGGGTAGGGATAATGGGTGAGATGCACATAGTGTGTGATTATACATACACAGCATGTACCTTTTCTCCATCTCATAGAGGACTCAGAAACAGTGACATCGCAATAGCAATAAATACATTAGCCTCTAAATACTACTTTCCTCTAAAAAAATTAAAAATCAAGACTTCTTGGAGAAATGGCTCATTCCAGCACTGGGGCAGGGGAAGCCTGAAATATCTTCCACAAAAAGCATAGAAATGAGCCAACCAGCAACACTAACAATAGTCCAAGAACATAGGAACTACATGCTAGCATTTCCATGGCCCAAATCTGGGAAATCTGAGCATCAAAATAATGATATTAATGAATTATTGAATGAAAAAAAACCATGAGGTCACAGTAATACAGATGACTCAATTTAAAGCTTGCTGAGAAGGGTAAGGTCACGTATGCAGCTGTTTCCTCTGGGCATCAGCATCTTGAAGCAAAGCACCTGTGATGCCCAGCACAAGAACCTAGCAAGATTGGGCCTGTTGTCATTCTCTCATGGAAGGAGGGGAAAGGTTCATGGAGCTCATGAGACCCTCACAAGACCTTCAGAGCCTCACGAGACCTCTTCTTGTCCCCAAGATTTCAGTATGCCATGTACAAGGTAAACAGTTGCTGGGGGTGGGACTTCTCAATGGAAAAGGAGTCACCCATGCTCCTCTAAGTACCTCCAATAAACTCACTGGTTCATTCAGCTAGATTTGGATAGAATCCTTTCTTTAGTCTTTTGGTTTCCTCTCTATCTTGGATCAATAGGTTTTTAAAAAATATCTCCCCAGGAAAAGACGTGCAACAACATAGTTTCAAAGTATCTTACCACAAAATGCTTACCATTACTAAGGATAATACACTAACTTCACAGCAAAGTCTGGGAGACACTACGTTAACCAAATGATCAGTGTAAACATCACCCTTAATGATACAAACTGAAATCATATGTAACTGAAATGATGCAACAGAAAAACACAACATCATTTCCATGTGTTCCTTCCCAAATTGCCATAACCTGAATTTAATCACAGCAAAATATCAGACAAATAGAGACTGAAGAAAAGTCAACAAAATAACTGATGCATAATCTCCAAAGGTGCCAAGGGCATAAAAGTGTATAAGAGACCAAGGAAGTCCTCCGGGAAATCAGGAGCATAATAACTGAGTGCAGTCAGCATGTAGTTCAGAGCTGGGTCTATGTGCTAGAAAGAACATTCCTGGGATAATTGAATGGCGTCTAAGGACTGAACAAGGGAACAGGTCAATGTTAATTTCTTCATTTTGATGACTGTTACAGTTATGTTGGAGAGTGTCTGTTGGGACTATATGCTGGAATACGGAGGATAAGACTGGGGTATGAGGATGTCACCCTTGACAACTTACTCTCACATAGCTTGGGAAGGAAAGTCTTTGCACTATTCTTGAAAGAGCTTTACAGGAATAGGAATATTTTAAAACTAGAACAAGGGACTATGGGTATAGTTCAGCTGTGGAGTAGTTGCTTGGCACTGCAAAAACAACAAAATTTTTTAAAAAATAGTGCATTTGAAAAAAACTTTGCAAGATTAAAAGGTATAATTACAATAATTAAAGGTCATGATACTATTTCTCTCTCCCCACCTCCTCCCTTTTTCTTCTTTCCTTCTTTCTTTACTCTTCCCCCATTTCTGTACTTTCTTTATCTTCATTACCTTCTTAATTTCTTTCTTTTTCTTTCTCAGCAGTATGCTTCTAATGTTAGACACATAGATACCTAACCAATTTTTCATGTGGATAGAGAAAGATTATTCAGACATCTCCACCAAGAAATAATAGATATCATGTAAGTGAATAATAAAAATGATGGCAGAGCTGGAGAGATGGCTCCATGATTAGAAGTACTTGTTGCTCTTGTAGAGGACCTGGGTCCAGTTCCCAGCACCTAGATGGCAGCTCACAATTGCTTATAACTCCAGCTCCAAGGGATCAGACACACTCCGACACATAAATAAAAATAAATCTTAGGGGCTAGAGGGAGACCCTGTCTCAAAAAGACACTGGTTGTTTTTGCAGAAGACCTGGGTTTGAATCCCAGCACCCACCTGGCAGCTAACAACTGTACGTAACTCCAGTCC